CGCGATGGACTCCGGTCTTGCAAAGAAAAATATGAATGTAAATTAAAATTAAGAAGAACAGGTACAATTGGTTCAGATGCTGCAAAATTCTATGTGGGATGAAAGGAAGAGGAGCAAGCCCGCGCACCCTCCACGAACAGCATCGCTCCTGGAAGGGGTACCGCCAGTTTGCCTCCTGAGTGCTCGGAGCCCCGGCATGGCTGAGAATGTAGTCTCTGTTATTAAACCTGTTTTCTAGGGAACATAAAGGAAAGAGGAGGTGCAGGCAAGGAAGGCTAGTCTCGCTCTGTCGCCCAGGCTGGAGTGCAGTGGCGCGATCTCGGCTCACTGCAAGCTCCGCCTCCCGGGTTCACGCCGTTCTCCTGCCTCAGCCTCCCGAGTAGCTGGGACCACAGGCGCCCGCCACCACGCCCGGCTCATTTTTTTTGTATTTTCAGTAGAGACAGGGTTTCAACGTGTGTTAGCCAGGATGGTGTGGATCTCCTAACATGATCCACCCGCCTCGGCCTCCCAAAGTGCTGGGATTACAGGCATGAGCCATCTTACCCTCGCAGGTGCCCGCTTCCTATGTATGCTCAGCCACAGGCGTTCTCTAGTAGCTGTTTTGAAGTCTAGCTCCACTGATTCCACCATCTGTGTCATTTCTTGGTCTCTTGATGGATTTTCTACCAGTAGTGAATTGTGTTTCTCTGTTTGGTTGTATGCCGGGCCATTTAAGGTAGGAGGCCAGTCCTGTGCATTTTACGTGATTAGGTGCCAAATACTTCGTGTTCCTTTAACTAATGTTGGGCTTTTCTTTGTCATGCAGTTAAATTATTTGGAATTAGATTGATGCTTTGGGGGATCGTTTTGAATCTTTGTTAGTTGGTATGAGAAGAAACTTTGGTCTGTGGGTAATTTGACCCCACTGCTGAGGCCCTGCTCTCCCAGCACTCTCTTCAAAGGCCCTTGGACTAGGCAGACTTTTCACTCCAGCTGTGGAGACTCAGATTCTTCACCGCCCAGAGTGACCCCAGGAATTTTTCAGCCTGGTCCTTTCTGGCGGTGCTTTCCCAGCCCGGGCAGTTTCGTCTCATTCATGCTCTGATCTCTCCTTGGACGGGGGACTTCCCAGTAGATCCACAGAGCTCTCTCCCTTCCCTCTCTCCACCCTCTCCCCAGTACTGCTTCTGTGTCCTATACTTGCCACTGTGAGGTCCAGCAGACTCCCGAAGTTCTCAGCTCGGGAGAACACATACGCTCTGCTTGATTTCCCTCTCCCTGCTCTCCAGCCTGGGAACTGGATGCAGGTTTGAGCTGCGTACTTGTAGGAGCCCCAGGTCTTGTTTCCTGCCTTCACTCCACTGTCCCATGCGCCCTTGTCCAGTGTCTAAAACCCCTGGGTTCATGTTGTTCGTCTGGCAGTTTACTTTTTAAATACAAGGGGAGCCAGTCCCAGTGGCTCACGCCTGTAATCCCAGCACTTTGGGAGACCAAGACAGGCTGAGACAGGCGGATCACTTGAGGTCAGGGGTTCGAGACCAGCCTGACTAACATGGTGAAACCCCGTCTCTACTAAAGAAACACAAAACATTAGCCAGGTGTGGTGGTGCGTGCCTGCAATCCCAGCTACTTGGGAGGCTGAAGCAGGAGAAGCACTTGAACCCAGGAGGCAGAAGTTGCAGTGAGCTGAGATTACACCACTGCACTCCAGCCTGGTGACAGAGCAAGACTCTGTCTCAAAAAAAAAAAAAAAAGAGATTCTAATATGTAAATATTTATCTTTATTATTATTATTATTAGAAAGTAACACTTCCCACCGAAACTACCAGAAACATCCAGAAAATGAAGCAGAAAAATGCAGCCCAGGAATCAGAAAAGGCCTCAGGTATGGGGTCCTCAGAGTCTTATATGTAGTAGAGAAAATTTTCCAGCCCACCTCCGTCTTCTTGAGTCTGATATGCTCATCCCAGCCCCAAGAGGGGGCATCTCAGGGGATTCCAGGGCTGCCCTCAGCATCCCCCAAGCTCCCTGCCCACAGCTCAGGTGACAGTAAGAGACCCCGCAGGGGTGGGATGTGAGTCCCACATCAGAGGAGCGCTCCCAGGCAGCAAATACGCCATCACACCTGTCAGTATCCTCTGAGACATTTTAAGGAAGTTGAGCAAGACCCAGGCTCTCAGGTGCCTCCTTGCCTGTCCCAGTGACCGGATGTGTCAGGCATCAGGACTTAGGCAGATACCGAATCTCTCACTTCTCATTTGAGGTCCTATTATCTCCCGTAACTGAATAAAGTCAAGTTCGGACCTGTCCGTGTAGAGGCAGCATCCTGCACGTGTGCAGGTGAGTTATGCCAAAGTACATCCATATTCCTCTTTCCTTCCAGTCCGGTCAATTAAACCTTGGAGTGACCAGGAAATCCAGAGTTTCCTGCAAGAATGGGAATTTCTTGAACGTGAAGTGTACAGGGTGAAGAAGAAGTATCACGTAGTATCAAAAACAATTGCCCAGCGTCTCAAGCAGAGAGGTATGAAGAAGAGCTGGCAGGAATGTCTCCAGATGCTAATAAGCTTGCAGGACTTATACTTCACTATTCAGGAGGCCAACCAGAGGCCAAGGTGCCTACCCTTGCCATGTCCTTATGGCGAGGCCCTGCACAGGATTCTGGGATACAGATGGAAAATCGGCGTCTTCTCAGGTTTGTGTGTTTTGTATTCATCTCCACAGTCCTTTAGTGACTGCCATTGGCTTCCCCCACTCCACCCCCACCATCCTTGTGCCCTGAGTAGAGCAGAGAATGACGAGACAGGCCCCTGCCCAGAGCCCCTGGCACACAGCACAGGGACTTGCTGCTCTGACGGGCTGCCTGCCTCTATTTTTCCTTTTTGTTCTTCCCCAAAGTAATAATGAGGACTTTGTTCAGGGACTTGTTCAGAATGGACATGGCCCCGGGGCTGGGTGAGGTCACAGGCAAGGATTCAGGTACAGGGTGGGTGGTGCCCTCACGAGCCCTCCATGTGTCTTCTGTCTCTCTCAGGTCCTCCCTGTGCAGATGCGGTTGACCTCGCACCTCCCCAGCACCAGCCCCAGGCCTGTGGCGTTCCCATAGCCGTTCAGGAGCTGACGTGGGCCCCGACCCCTGTGATCTATGTGGAAAATCCTCCGGTACCCGAATGGGAGCCCTGGAACACAAATGGTCATGCTCCATATATGAATCCTGCTTTTCCCCCAGCAGCCCCAGGCCCCCTACCACAGTGGGCCATCTCTACTGACTGATCCAGATCTTGAAGACAATTAGAATCTGGATCCCGATTCTTCAGAAAGACTGAAAAGTAGCACAATCTGTGTGTGTTAGTGCATGACTCCTTCCCCTCCTCACCTGGTACAATGAGAATAAATGTGAAATAAATGAACGACCGTGACCTCATCCCTTTCTGGCTTGTGCTTGTGGCTTGGGTTGAACCTCCAATTGTAGAGACCATGGGACAGGGAGGGGGCTCAGCCCCCCGGTGACCTGGGACCCGTCCTTTCATTCCTGCATCATGCTTCCTGCATGGAAGCCCCTTTGTAGTAAGGGACAACTTTTACCCCAGAGGTAACTGCTCAATCCTGCCTTCATTTCCTGGCTGTGTGACCATAGAAAACTTTTTTTTTTTGAGATGGAGCCTCACTTTGTTGCCCAGGCTGGAGTGCAGTGGTGTAATCTCGGCTCACTACAACCTCCACCTCCTGGATTCAAGCAATTCGCTGCCTCAGCCTCCCATGTAGCCGGGATTACAGGCGCCCGCTACCATGCCCAGCTAATTTTTGTATTTTTAGTAGAAACGGAGTTTCACCATCTTGGCCAGGCTGCTCTTGAACTCCTGACCTCAGGTGATCCACTCCCCTTGGCCTCACAAAATGCTGGGATTACAGGCGTGAGCCACTGCGCCCGGCAGAACTTTTATTTCATGTTTCTGAGCCCCCAGATCCTCATATTAAAATTGAAGCTGATATCTTACTTCAGGAGAGAGTTTTTGGGAAAAAACACATACCTGGCATAATCACTCTGTATGACGTTCATTTTCCCCCATTTCTTGGTGGTCTTATTGAGAAGTGAAGCCAGCTGGCTTCTAGGTGGGGTGGGGACTTGTAGAACTTTTCTGTCTAGTGAGAGGAGTGTAAATGCACCAATCAGTGCTCTGTGTCTAGCTAGAGGATTGTAAATGCACCAGTCAGCATTCTGTAAAATGGACTAATCAGCACTCTGTAAAATGGACCAATCAGCAGGACATGGGCGGGGCCAAATAAGGAAATAAAAGCCAGCCGCCCCAGCCAGCAGTGGCAACCTGATCACATCCTCTTGGATGTTGTGGGAGCTTTGTTCTTTCTTTGTTCTCCACATTGGGGTCTGCACCACCTTTAAGAGCTGTAACAGTCGCCGTGAAGGTCCGTGGCTTCATTCTTGAAGTCTGTGAGACCAAGAACCTACCGGAAGGAGAAACTCTGGACGTATCTGAAGGAACAGACTCCGGCCACACCATCTTTAAGAGCTGTGACACTCACCACAAAGGTATGCGGCTTCATTCTTGAAGTCAGCGAGACCAAGAACCCACCAGAAGGAATAAATTCTGGACACATTGTTATTATATTTTTTTGAGACGGAGTCTAGCTCTTGTCCCAGGCTGGAGTAGGGTGGCACAATCTCGGCTCACCGCAATCTCTGCCACCTGGGTTCAAGCGATTCTCCTGCCACAGCCTCTCAAGTAGCTGGAATCATGCACCACCACATCTGGCTAACTTTTTGTATTTGTTAATACATGGAGACGGGGTTTCTCCATGTTGGTCAGGCTGGTCTGGAACTCCCGACATCAGGTGATCTGCCCGCCTCCGCCTCCCAAAGTGCTGGGATTACAGACGTGAGCTACACACCCGGCCCGTGGTCTTATTTTTTTAGGAAACATTGTTTTGAGATAATTATAGTTTTACATGCAGTTGTAACAACTAGTAGAGAGGGATTAGAGAGACCCCTTAGGCCCTATGTCCAGGTTCCCCCAGCGGTAACAGCCAGAAAGCACAATATCATAACCAGGATATTGACATCCATACAGTCAAGAGGGTCACCAGAAGAAACCGTCTCACTGCCCTTTATGAGGGACATGCACGTCCCTCCTGCCCTCAGCCCCTGCCTAACTCCTGGCAACCCCTGAAATAGTCTTCTTTTAATAAGTTTGTTATTTCAACAGTGTTATATAAATGGAATTGTGCAGTATGTAGCCTTTTGGGAATAGTTTTTTTCAGTTACTCATTAGAGATTCCTCCAGGTTGTTGCATGGATCAATGTTCATTCCTTTTTTTTGCCATGTAGTGTTCCACTGTGTGGATGTACCAGATGGAACCATTTGCCCATTGAATGACATCCAGGCTGTTTCCAGTTTGGACTATTGTGAATAAAGCTGCTATAAACCTCCAGATACAGGTTTTGTGTAAACTGAAGACTTCCTTTGGGATAAACACCCAGGGGTACAATTTCCGGGTGTATAATATTGCATGTTTAATTTTTTTTTTTGAGATGGAGTCTTGCTCTGTCACCCAGGCTAGAGTGCAGTGGTGCAATCTCAGCTCACTGCAACCTCTCTGCCTCTGGGGTTCAAGCGACTCTCCTGCCTCAGCCTCGCCAGTAGCTGGGATTATAGGCGCCGCCACCACACCTAGCTAATTTTTGTATTTTTAGTAGAGAGAGGGTTTCTGCATATTGGCCAGGCTGGTCTCGAACTCTTGACCTCCGGTGATCCACCCACCTTGGCCTCCCAAAGTGCTGGGATTGCATGCATGAGCCACCGTGCCTGGCCTAATTTGTTTGTTTGTTTGTTTGTTTACCAGATGGCTGTGTCATTCTACACCCCCACCAGCAATGTATGAGTGAAACAGTTTCTCCACATCCTCACCAGCATTTTGTTTTGTCACTGTTCATGAAAAGGCGAATAGAATGACCTTCAGAGTGTCCAGCACAGAGGGCCTGAGCAGAGCTCGGAATGATGGGACTGGCCTCTGCCCAGGGCGCCTCTGTAGAGCATCACAAACAGTGATACCTAATTACGGCTTCCATTTTCAGTTCCCTAGCGGCTGGTGATACGGAACATGTTGTATGCTTATTTGCCATCTGTGTATCCTCTGCAGTGACATGGCTCTTCATGGTTTTGACCATTTTCTAATTGGATTTTTGTTTTTATTGTTGTTATTGGAGTTTTTTATATATTCTAGTTTTAAGGGATATGGGTTTCACAGATGTTTTCTCCCTGTTTGTAGCTTGTCTTTTCATGCTCTTCTTACGAGCTTTCACAAAGAAAAGACTTTATGAGGTACAATTTATCAAAATTTTAATGGGTAGGGCTTTGGGTGGCAAATCTAAGAACTCTTTCGTTAGTCCTAGATCCTGAAGACTTTTTCCTATATTTTTCTAAAAGTGTTACAGTTTTACATTTTGCATTTAAGTCCCTGGTATGTTTGAGTTAAATCGTGATTAAAGTTTGTGAAGTTTAGGTTAAGGTTCATTTTGTGTGTATGTGCCTGTGAATGTCCAGTTGCTCCGGTACTATTTTCTGAAGAGGCTGTCTTTTCTGCATTGAATTGCTTTTGCATTTTTGTAACAAACTGGGTGGGCATATTTGTGTGGTTGTTGTCATGGGTTCTGTACCTTGTTCCATTGGTCTACACTCTGCTAATACCACACACCCTTGCTTACTATAGCTGTATAAGTTGTTAAATCCTATAAATTAATTCTTCCTACTTTGTTCTTTGATTGATTTTTCAAACATTGAACCAGTCTGGAGTACATCAATTGTTCATCATATAATTTTTTCATCTATTATTGACTTATTTTTAGTAATGTTTTATTAATGATTTCTGCATCAGTATTCAAGAAAGATGCTGTTTTACAGTTTTGTTATACTGTCTTTTTCTGGTTTTGGTATCAGGATAACACTAGCTTCATCAAGTAAATTTGCAAGTGAAATAAGCTAGCCACAGGAAGATAAATACTGCATGATCTCACTTTTATGTGGAATCTAAAATAGTCAAACTTATAGAAGACTGCAGAATGGTGGTTGCCAGGGCTGGAGGGAGGGAGAAATGGGGAAATGGGGAGATGCTGGTTATGAGTGTAAAGTTTCCATTACTCAAGATGAATAAGATCTGGAAATGGAATGTACAGCATGGTGACTATAGTTAACACTATTGTATTTTATACCTGAAATGTGTTTAGAGAGTAGATTGTAAGTGTTCTCATCTTACACACACACACAAAGGTTAACTATGTGAGGCAATAAATATGTTAACTGACTTGACTGTGGTGCCCATTGCACAATATATACATATATTAAAAAATCAAGTTTTAAAATCGATACTTTTTTTGAGACGGAGTCTCGCTCTGTCACCCAGGCTGAAGTGCAGTGGTGCGATCTCAGCTCACTACAACCTCTGCCTCCCGGGTTCAAGCGATTCTCCTGCCTCAGCCTCCCAGGTAGCTGGGACTACAGGCACATATCACCATGCCTGGCTAATGTTTTGTATTTTTAGTAGAGATGGGGTTTCACTGTGTTAGCCAAGATGGTCTCGATCTCCTGACCTCGTGATCCAGCTGCCTCAGTCTCCCAAAGTGCTGTGGTTACAGGTGTGAGCCACTGCGCCCAGACAATTCATACCATTTTTATCTGTCAATTATACTTGAATAAAGCTGAATAAAAAGACTACAGTCATCATTATGGATGCTGGTAAAAACAAAACAAAATTCTTTTGGTTAAGCTATTTTTTTTGCTATGCTCAAAGATAAAATTGGACACAGAAAACCAAGCTAACTAAACTAAATATCTAAAGCTATAGAAAGGCCACTGCACTCCAGCCTGGGTGACAGAGCAAGACTCCATCTAAAAAAAAAAAAAAAAAAAAAAGTGCTTCTGTAAATAGAGAAGAGAGAATAAAGCCTTAGAGATTTAACTATATGCAGAAATCCGAAGACAAAAATCAAACATTGCAGAAGGATACTTCTGCTTGGATTATTTCCTTAAAACTTGGAAACACAGATTCAGAAGACATCCTTCTGTTGATAAAATAGTGCCAATCAACACAGACACTGACAAGGCTGACCTCAATGATCAGGATAAAGAAGATGATGAAATGTTAATTCAACTTGAAGAAACCTGGGGAATTTAAGTATCCAGAAATAAGCCTATTTGTACCTGAAGCTAGTGATATCACATACATGTCTAAAAATTGTTCCGCAATTAAAATGAAAAGTTTAAAAGTATTTGTGTCAAAGTCATACATATTTCTATACTCAAGATCATCTTACAATTTCTACCTTCTTGAACAGGCCGACAACCATTTTTGTCCTGAAATAAGCCTTCAGAATTAAATGTTAATTTTAATTTATGGACTTTTTCAGCAAG